TCGATTTAATGGCCAGTGTCAAGGTAGTCTTCACAGGGGCTACTGAACACCCCCTTTCCACTCCTGTTAGTTCCTTCCTTCGATTTAATGGCCAGTGTCACGGTAGTCTTCACAGGGGCTACTGAACACCCCTTCCACTCCTCTGTTCCTTCCTTCGATTTAATGGCCAGTGTCAAGGTAGTCTTCACAGGGGCTACTGAAACCCCCTTCCCACCTCTGTTCCTTCCTTTCGATTTAATGGCCAGTGTCAAGGTAGTCTTCACAGGGGCTACTGAACACCCCCTTTCCACTCCTGTTAGTTCCTTCCTTCGATTTAATGGCCAGTGTCAAGGTAGTCTTCACAGGGGCTACTGAACACCCCTTCCCACTCCTGTTAGTTCCTTCCTTCGATTTAATGGCCAGTGTCAGGTAGTCTTCACAGGGGCTACTGAACACCCTTCCCACTCCTGTTAGTTCCTTCCTTCGATTTAATGGCCAGTGTCAGGTAGTCTTCACAGGGGCTACTGAACACCCCCTTCCCACTCCTGTTAGTTCCTTCCTTCGATTTAATGGCCAGTGTCAGGTAGTCTTCACAGGGGCTACTGAACACCCCTTCCCACTCCTTGTTCCTTCCTTCGATTTAATGGCCAGTGTCAAGGTAGTCTTCACAGGGGCTACTGAACACCCCTTTCCACTCCTGTTAGTTCCTTCCTTCGATTTAATGGCCAGTGTCAGGTAGTCTTCACAGGGGCTACTGAACACCCTTCCCACTCCTGTTAGTTCCTTCCTTCGATTTAATGGCCAAGTGTCAAGGTAGTCTTCACAGGGGCTACTGAACACCCCTTCCCACTCCTCTGTTCCTTCCTTCGATTTAATGGCCAGTGTCAAGGTAGTCTTCACAGGGGCTACTGAACACCCCTTCCACTCCTCTGTTCCTTCCTTCGATTTAATGGCCAGTGTCACGGTAGTCTTCACAGGGGCTACTGAACACCCCTTTCCACTCCTCTGTTCCTTCCTTCGATTTAATGGCCAGTGTCACGGTAGTCTTCACAGGGGCTACTGAACACCCCTTCCCACTCCTGTTAGTTCCTTCTTCGATTTAATGGCCAGTGTCAGGTAGTCTTCACAGGGGCTACTGAACACCCCTTCCCACTCCTGTTCCTTCCTTCGATTTAATGGCCAGTGTCACGGTAGTCTTCACAGGGGCTACTGAACACCCCCTTCCCACTCCTGTTAGTTCCTTCCTTCGATTTAATGGCCAGTGTCAAGGTAGTCTTCACAGGGGCTACTGAACACCCCCTTTCCACTCCTGTTGTTCCTTCCTTCGATTTAATGGCCAGTGTCACGTAGTCTTCACAGGGGCTACTGAACACCCCTTCCACTCCTCTAGTTCCTTCCTTCGATTTAATGGCCAATGTCACGGTAGTCTTCACAGGGGCTACTGAACACCCCCTTTCCACTCCTCTGTTCCTTCCTTCGATTTAATGGCCAGTGTCAGTAGTCTTCACAGGGGCTACTGAACACCCCTTTCCACTCCTGTTCGTTCCTTCCTTCGATTTAATGGCCAGTGTCAGGTAGTCTTCACAGGGGCTACTGAACCACCCTTTCCACTCCTCTGTTCCTTCCTTCGATTTCATGGCCAGTGTCAAGGTAGTCTTCACAGGGGCTACTGAACACCCCCTTTCCCACTCCTCTGTTCCTTCCTTCGATTTAATGGCCATGTCAAGGTAGTCTTCACAGGGGCTACTGAACACCCCCTTTCCACTCTGTTAGTTCCTTCGATTTAATGGCCAGTGTCAAGGTAGTCTTCACAGGGGCTTACTGAACACCCCCTTTCCACTCCTCTGTTCCTTCCTTCGATTTAATGGCCAGTGTCAAGGTAGTCTTCACAGGGGCTACTGAACACCCCCTTCCCACTCCTGTTAGTTCCTTCCTTCGATTTAATGGCCAGTGTCAAGGTAGTCTTCACAGGGGCTACTGAACACCCCTTCCCACTCCTGTTCCTTCCTTCGATTTAATGGCCAGTGTCAAGGTAGTCTTCACAGGGGCTACTGAACACCCCCTTTCCACTCCTGTTAGTTCTTCTTCCTTCGATTTAATGGCCAGTGTCAAGGTAGTCTTCACAGGGGCTACTGAACACCCCTTCCCACTCCTGTTAGTTCTTCCTTCGATTTAATGGCCAGTGTCAAGGTAGTCTTCACAGGGGCTACTGAACACCCCCTTTCCACTCCTTGTTCCTTCCTTCGATTTAATGGCCAGTGTCAAGGTAGTCTTCACAGGGGCTACTGAACACCCCCTTTCCACTCCTGTTAGTTTCTTCCTTCGATTTAATGGCCATGTCAAGGTAGTCTTCACAGGGGCTACTGAACACCCCCTTTCGACTCCTGTAAACACACACGCCATCCCGCGGTGATAGAGGTTCTCCTTGCCACCTCCTTCTTCTGGTCCTCCTCCTCCTCTTCTTGTTCGTCGCTCCGGGGCTATTCTTCTCTTTCCTCCTTCTCCTTTTTTTTCTCCTTCGTCTTCTCCTCTTCGTTTTGTTCGTCCCTCTGGGGCTATTTTTCTTCTTCCTCCTTCTCCTTATTCTTTTTCTCCTTCGTCTTCTCCTCTTTGTCTTGTTCAGCCCTCCGGGGTTCTTCTCCTTCTTCCTCTTCGTCTTGTTCGTCCCTCCTCTCTCTTCATTCTTTTTCTCCTTCGTATCCTCCTCTCTTCGTCTTGTTCGTCCCTCCAGGGCTCTTCTTCCTCCTTCCTCCTTCTCATTCTTTTCCTTCTTCGTCTCCTCCTCCTCCTCCTCGTCCTGTTTGTGCCTCCGGTTTCCTTGTCTTCTTCTCTTTCGTTTCCTCCTTCTCCACTTCTTCGTCCTCGTCCAGTCTGTCCCTTCGGTGTCTCTTCTCTTCCTCCTCCTCATTTTCTTTCTCTACTAACCCTTTTTTCTTTTCCCCTTGTCCCTTGTTCTTCTTCCATGCCCTTATTATCTATATCCTGTTCCTTCTCTTCATCTTTCTCTCCTTTCACCTCTTCTTCCCCCTGTACCTCTCCTCCTGTCCTAACCTCTCTTTTTTTCTCTTTTTTCCCTCTTCCTTCTCTTCATCTCCATCTCTTTTCACTTTTTCGTCTTCCCCTTGTACCTCTCCTCCTGTCCTACCTCCTCTCCTTTTTTTTTTCTTCTTTTTTCTCCTCTTCCTTCTTTTCATCTCCACCTCTTTTCACTTCTACGTCTTCCCCTTGTACCTCTCCTCCTGTCCTACCTCTCCTTTTTTTTCTTCTTTTTTCTCCTCTTCCTCTTTTCATCTCCACCTCTTTCATTCTACGTCTTCCCCTTGTACCTCTCCTCCTGTCCTACCTCCTCTCCTTTTTTTCTTCTTTTTTCCCTCTTCCTTCTCTTCTTCTCCATCTCCTTTCACTTCTTCGTGTCCCCCTCTCTACCTCCCCTCCTATCCTACCCTCTCCTTTTCCCCCCTCTTCCTTCTCTTCATCTCCCTCTTCTTTCACTTCTTCGTCTCCCCCTCCCTCTACCTCTCCTCCTGTCCTACCTCCTCTCCTTTTTTCTTCTTTTTTCTCCTCTTCCTCCTCGCCCAGAAGTGGCTATGTACTTGGCCCGGTTATTGGCCAAGATGCCCGCCTTTACCCGTGGCATTTTTACTCATTATCGATGTTAACGTGTAATTTTGCAGCATATAATTTTTATCAATAACCCACACCATATTCGAGATTGTTTGTTAAGGAAATTCCCTGGTCTGGACGCAGGCAAAGTGTGGATTGTAAACATACACGTAAATAGCTTGTACAATTGTTTTAATTATTAGCAAACAGGTCCATAGTTTCAACTTCAATACATTTACAGTACTCTAATAGTAATGCAATGTTATTTTTTAGAATTAAATTTACAGTACAACAATAAAAGGAAGACTTAACAGCATTGACATGTTCCCACGAGATTTAACATTAAGAACTGCACTACTTTTAGTGTGTAAACATACGGCAAAAAGAGACATGTAAAACAAAAAGGTTTAAATCAGAAATGTAATTCCATAACGAAATATATCGTTTTTCGACATTCATTCTGATGTAATTGTCGAAAGGTCAATTATATATTCCTCATAGTGGAATTATGCATTTCCATTCTAACCTTTATCTACAAACGGCAAAAAACACAAAAGTGGGGCTTAAAATTAACATTTTAATACATATTGAACACATGTAGAACTTTTTGTCCTAAATCTTTGTTCTTAATCTATTGTCTTTGATCTGTTATAAGGGAAATGTTCAGTGTTCTCTTGTAATTGGATTGTTCTATCTTGGCAGTGTTAGATTTGACTTCATAATTGTCTATTGTTATTTAAATGAATAAGAAATATGAACATACTCTCAGCTGTGAAATAGATCACCCAAGTTCCACTGTTCTTCTTAGTATTCTTTAAAAACACGAATAGTAGATGAACATAAAAGATTGTAGAATTATCAGCTATTTCATTCTCAGCACTAACACTGATCCGTTAACCAAAAAAGAAAAAAAAATGTATTTTTAACGTTTTTCTTTACAAATTACTGTTTCTCTGACTCACAACCTGATGCATAAGAGCTAAATACAACAGTATGACGTATTTAAAATCATAAAATTCTATTTCCTAAACAATAAATCTTTCTCTCTTATACATAGTCCATTTGTCCTGAAAATAACTGATTCATTATTCAATTATTCAATATATTATCAATATTTGCAAGATCCCCCAACTAAAAAAGAAAAGAAAAAACAGAAAAAAAAAAATTTTTGTTTACCCCCTCAAAAAAAAAAAAAAAAAAAAAAAAAAAAAAAAAAAAAACATATTCAGTAAGTATCCACAATACAAATATACTTCTCGTATACCTATACAAATAACAAATCTCTCCGTCCTCTGTATAAAAGAAGCTGTCATTTCAATAACAAATCTCTCCGTTCTCTGTATAAAAGAAGCTGTTATTTCATGTTCTCTTTTTTTATTTCCTTTTTTCTCGTTCCAAGTGGTGTCTACACTTATAAATCCTTTTTTCTCGTTCCAAGTGGTGTCTACGCCTATAAACACCCAAGTGGTGTTTAACACGTCGCCCCTTTCAACAGCTGGAGCCTGGGAAACACTTAGTAGTTGTAGTCGACACACTGGTCGTCATCGCCAGTGGGTGGGTGTGTCGGACAAGCACACGTACGCCCACCACGCCCATTGGGTAGACACAGGTGGGTCGTAGGCAGCCGCCACGACTATCTCCGCAGACGTTCGACACTGGGGAACGGGAGAAAGGTGGTTAATGCGGTCGTTCTGTGTTGCACTTTGCTTGTTTCGTGATTTGACACTGCTTGTTTTGTGATGTGACAATTAAGTCGTTCTGTGATTTGGCACCTCGGTTGTTCTGTGATATGACACGTTCTGTGATATGAAACTTTGCTTGTTTTGTGATATGACACATCGGTTATGATTCTTAGGTTCTGCGATATGACACTTAAGTGTTCTATGATATGGCACTTAAGTGGTTATGTGATATGACACTTAAGTGGTTATGTGATATGACACTTAAGTGGTTATGTGATATGACAATTAAGTGGTTATGTGATATGACACTTAAGTGGTTATGTGATATGACACTTTAGTGGTTCTGTGATATGACACTTAAGTCGTTCTGTGATGTGACACTTAAGTCGATCTGTGATATGACACTTAAGTGTTCTGTGATATGACACTTGAGTGGTTCTATGATATGACACTTAAGTGGTTATGTGATATGACACTTAAATGGTTCTGTGATATGACAAGTGGTTCTGTGACATGACAATGGTTCTGTGACATGACAAGTGGTTCTGTGACATGACAAGTGGTTCTGTGACATGACAAGTGGTTCTGTAACATGACAAGTGGTTATGTGATATGACAAGTGGTTCTGTGACATGACAAGTGGTTCTGTGATATGACAAGTGGTTCTGCGATATGAATAAGTGGTTCTGTGATATGACACTATCACTATCACTATTATTATTCTCTTCATGATTGTCATTCTTACAGCTATTGCTATCATTATTATCACTATCACAATTATCATTATGATTATTATTATTATCAATATTATTATTATCATTATCAATGTCATTATCATCATCATCATCATCATTATCATCATCATTTAATAAAAACAACCCCATCTCGCAAGCCAACGGAACCCCAGCGTGACCTAGCATGACCCAGCGTGACAACTTGAAGTGACCTTTGACCCCATACCTGGAGACAAGCGTGAGGAACCGCCGCGATGCCGTACAGCCTCCCTGACCCACCGGGGGGGGGGCGGGAGGGGGACTCGATGCCGGAGTATCGGTTCACCACGTGGATCCTCGTGCTGGAGGGGGGAGGGGAGAGGAGAAGAGAGAGAAATGGTGATAATGTGTAGTGAGAGAGGAGGGGGGAGAGAGAGGGAAGAGGTAGAGGAGGAGAGAGGGGGAAGGAAGGAGAGAGGGAGAGGGATGGGGAGGAGGGAAGGGGAGGGAGAGGAGGGGAAGAGGGGGGAGGGAGAGAGAAGGGTAAGTAATGTGTAGAGAGAGAGGAGGGGAGGGGAAGAGGGAGGGGGAGGGGAGTTGGAAGGAAGGAGGAGAGGGGGAGGGAAGAGGGAGCAAGGGGAAGGGGAGGGAAAGGAGAGAGAGGGGAGTTGGAGGGAGAGGGGGAAGGGGGAGGGGAAGAGGGGGAGAAGGAAGTGGGAGAGGGGGAGAGAAGGAGGAGGGTGAGGGGAGGTGGGGAGGAGGGGAGGAAGAGAGGTGGAGATAGGAGGTAGAGAGGGGGGAGGGGGAGGTGGAAGGAAGGAGGGAGAGGGAGGGGAGGGGAAGAGGGAGAAGGTGGAGGGGGAGGTGAAGGGAAGGAGCGAGAGGGGGAGGAGGGGGAGGTGGAGGGAGAGAGGGGGAGGGGGAGGTGGAGGGAAGGAGGGAGAGAGGGGGAGGGGAGGTGGAGGGAAAGAAAGAAAACAGAGAAAAAAAACAATCAAAACCAAATTGACGAAAGAAAAAAGAAAAAGAATCTTATTCCAATCACCAATAAAATCCACCTATTCCACTTTTTTTCAAAAACATTTTTACACCAGAAAAAAAATGGAAAAAAAAAAAAAATCTTCACCGCCTCCGTCAGGAAACTTACTCGTTCCAGTCCGTGTAGAAGAAGTCCTGGCCGAGGGTGGTGAGGCCGAAGGGGTAGAGGGCGCCCTCCATCACCGTCCGACGCCCACTGCCCTCCACGCCGATGCACTCTGCCGGAGGAGGAGGTCGGGAGGGCGTGAACAACAACAACAAACAACAACAACAACAACAAAAAACGGGACATGGACAGGAATTTTATTTATTTATTTAGTTTTTATTTATTTTAATTATTTACCCAAAATCACGATATTTAAAACTGGCCGGGAACATGGACAGTTATTCTTTATTTATCATTATTATAGTTTTTGTTATTGTTTAAGCCTGTATGTATTTGCTAACACAGGCTGGAAAAAAAACTGAATGAATATGCACTTAAAATATTTCTAATTCTCTGGTAAAAAAAATAATAATAATAGTACGAAAACTATCTTACAAAGTAAATCTAATTCTCTGGTAAAATAAATAAAATAAATAAGCAGTGCCAAAACTATCTTAAAGAGTAAAATCTGATTCTCTAACAATGGCAAAAATACCAAAATCATTAAAAATCTGATTTAAAAAAACAACAGTCCTAAAAGAATAAACACCCTAAAAAATACCAACAATACCAAACCTAACACACCAACCATACCGAGAAACACCCCCGCCCCCCCCAAAAAAAACATACAAAAATATACCCCCCCAAAAGAAAAAAAAAAGAAAAAAAAAAAAAAAAAAAAAAAAAAAAAAAAAAAAAAAAAAATATATATATATATATAATTATATATATATATATATATATATATATATATATATATATATAATATATATATATATACCACACACACACACCCCTCCAAAACATACTACAAATACACTCAATAAAACGACCCTCTCACTCACCTATCTTGTGGGTCCCGGCGTCGGCCCAGCATAGCGTCTGAGTGTCGTAGTCAACCACAAGGGAATTGGGAGCGAGATGTCCCTCTCGACCAGCCCGGCGGTTCGACCCGTCCAGACCCGAAACCTCGATCTTGGGTCCGAAGCGGTTCCAGTCGCTCCAGAACAGGAGGCTGCGGGGAGGGAGAGAGAGAGAGAGAGTGAGAGGGGAGATTGGGGGGAGGATGTGAGAGGGTGAGAGAGTAAGGGAGGGGATGTGAGAGAGAGGTGAGAGGGGGTGGGGGGGTGAGAGGTGAAGGGGGGGATGTCAGAGAGGTGAGGGGGGATGTGAGAGAGGTGAGAGGGGGATGTGAGAGAGGTGAGAGAGAGAGAGAGGGTGAGAGAGGGGGGGGATGTGAGAGAGGTGAGAGGAGGATGTGAGAGAGAGGTGAGGGGGATATGAGAGAGAGATGAGGGGGAGGGAGGGAGAGAGAGGTGAGAGGAGGGGGGATGTGAGAGAGAGGTAGGGGGAGGGAGAGAGAGCAGGTGAGGGGGGAGACGGAGAGTGAGGAGGGAGGTGAGAGAGGAGAGATGAGAGGAGGATGTGAGAGAGGTGAATGGGGAGGGGGATGTGAGATAGAGGTGAGGGGGAGGAGAGAGGTGAGAGAGTTGAAGGGGAGGGAGGAGGGGAGAAGATAGTGAGGGACGGGAGAGAGAGGTGAGAGGGGGAGGAGAGAGAGAGGAGAGAGAGAGGTGAGGGGTGGTGAGAGAGGGAGAGAGGTGAGGGAGGGATGTGAGACAGATTGAGGGGAGGGAGAGAGAGGTGAGGGGACTGAGAGAAGTGAGAGGAAAGTGTGATGAGGGGAAGTGAAGCAGAGAGAGATGAGGGGTAGAAGTGAGATGAGGGGGAGATGTGAAGCAAAGGAGGCAAAGAGAAGTGAGACGAGAAGAGAAAGAAGTGATGAGGAGAAAATTTTAAGCAGAGAGATATGAGGGAGGGTGACAGGTGACATGAGGGGGAGAAGTTGAGGTGGAAACATTGATGAGGGAGATGAAAGGAGAAGAGAGAGGATGGTGAAAAAAGTGCATCTTTCTTTCTGTATGTTTGCGTCTGTGCGTATGTGTGTGTACATATGTGTGTCTCTTTGTATATGTGCGTGGTTTGAGTGCGTGCGTGTGTGTGTGTGTGTGTGTGTGTGTGTGTGTGTGTGTGTGTGTGTGTGTGTGTGTGTGTGTGTGTGTGTGTGTGTGTGTTGCATATGTGTGTCTTTGTGTATGTGTGTGTATTTGAGTGCGTGCGGATGTGTGTATGTGCATATGTATGTCTCCGTGTACGTGTGTGTGTATTTGAGTGCGTGTGTGTGTGTGTGTGTGCGTGTGTGCATATGTGTCTTTGTGTATGTATGTTGTGTGTATTTCGGGCGGTTATGTGTGTGTGTGACGTGATCACAGTGACTGCAGATGTTACAAAAAAAACAGCAAGAATAATGATTGTAGAAGTGATGACAAAGTGATAGTCCAGAATAAGTGACAAAGAAAAACAACATTATTGACGGGGAAACATTGTGAGGTGTAAAAATGTGATAATTAAAAGGATGAGGGCACTGGTGATAAAGATGTGATGAGGTGATAGTGATGACTGGCAGTGATATTAGTAATGATAATGGTGATGATAACAATAATAATGATAATAATATTGACACTTTTGTTAAAATATGATAATGAATATTAGTATCATTATAATTACCACTGTTACTACTACCATTAATGGTAATAACAGCAACACAAATAGATAAATCAAGATAATAATGATGATAAATGACAATAATAACAATAACAATAATAATAATAATAGTAATATAATAAATAAACAAATGATAATAATAACAACTATTATTATTATAACAATAAATAATAATGATAATAGATAATAATAATAATGATAATGATAATAATGAAAGTATCAATAATAATAGATGATGATGAGGATAATAATGATAATAAAGATTATAATAATTAAAAATAATGATAATAATAAAAAAAATAATAATGATAATAATATAATGAATCATAATACTAAATAAATAAAAAATAAACAATAATGATAATAATAATAATAAGAAGAAGAATGATAATGATAACAATAATATCACAACTACTGCTACAATAGCAGTTGTAGAAAGGAAAATAAAAATGATAAGGAGTGTTAACAACGATAAAAAAATGATAACAACAAACAACAAACAGTTATAACGA